CTTTTGTGATAATCCTTGTGTAGCTTTTTTATAGTAGAAGAAAGCTTTCTTATCTTTTTCCAGTAGTTCGTACACAGCAGCAAATCCTAAATAAGTTGACACAAGATCTGTATGATTATGAGAACTGGAATTAAGAACGATTTGTTGTGATTGCGATAAGTAGTCTAGTGCGTCTTGGTATTCACCCATGCTCTGACATACGAGAGAAAGACCTAATAAGGTACTAGCCACATCTTTGTGATTTTGTGGAAGAATTTGTTTCTGGATTTCTAGCGATTGTTTGTAGTAATTACGAGCTTTAACATAGTTGCCAATGCTGTTGTATATCTCAGCTATGTTTGTAAAAGTTATCAATAAATCAGGATGATTAGATGGTAAAAGCTTCAATTGACAAGGTAAAGCTATTTGTTCGCACCAATAAAGTGCTGGTATGGCTTGGTGCAAATCCTTCCAAGCCATGCCTAGATTGCTATACAGAAAAGCAATACTTTCATTTTCTTCTAACTTCCTGCTCCGAACTGTATCCACAGCCACTTGATGATATTGCAGAGCACGGCGATAATGATGACGCGCTCCTGCGATCAGACCCAATAATGAGTAGGTGGCTGGCGCAAAAGTATCAGTAGTTAGCTGTAACTGACAAGATAGTTGAGCCGAGGATTCCGCTGAGTCAAGATCTCCAGTTTGATACTGATAATAACCTAGATCAGAGTAAGCCTGCATTTTCGCAATGTTCGAAATCGAATCTTCTTTGAGCAGTAATTCACAGAACTGTTTCGCACGAGTATACTCTTTCATATAACCCAAAAAACTACTCATAACGAGTAATGTCGATCTCTCACCAACATATTTTTTCAGAAAATATTCCCTAAGTGATTCATCTATGCCAGTTTGCTCGATTAAAGTTAGTTCGATTACCCAAAAGTCATCAGTCCAAGCTTCAACATTGCCGATGCGAAATACACTGCCCATGTTGAAAAGTACTTCACTCTCATGTTGATTATAACTTACATCCTGTATCTTTGCAAAAGATGTTTTCAGTGGTTTATCGTTCTTGTTTTCAAATTTGATCTGGAATAGAACACACTCAAAATAAGGTCGAACAAAAGCGCCTGAATTAAATGATAAAGCTACATCGCTTTTGGTGGTTGTTGATAAAAACGTATTCACAGAATAGATACCACCTTTATTATGTTTGAGTTTCCGAAATTCGTCTGCCGAAATTATTTGGCCACGGTAGACAGTCTCTAACGACAATTCTTTCTTCTGTAATTGATAAAGATGATCTAATTGTTGTTGCAAATCTACGAAATAGTAGCGAAACTTGAAGATATTGTCAATATTTCGAGTTCGGAATGCACGGTTAATAAGGCGAAATAGAAAACAGTCACGTGTGTACCATCGAATAGCATGGTCAGTAGTATAGGAGGCCTCAAATTCAGCGATTTTCTTCAACTCCGGTTCATTTTTAGCATAGCAACGTCGACATTCTTCGATTAATTCTTTTTTGCCTTGTTCACTCTGAGGTAACCGAGACAAAACATCGATGAGTAATTGAAACCACATAAAATTTGCTTGATCTTTGTCAATGTTTTGAAATGATGTTTGGTGTACATCTTGCATCGTAAATATATTCGCAGGAACGAAATGATGCATAAGTAATTGGGCATCACGCTGTACAGCTTCAACTAGCTGTTCTGCTACGTTAAAAACACCGCGAACTTTTGAGTATTTACCTGCCCATTCTTTATGTTTAATGGAATCGTCACAAAAAATAAACACACTAACGATCTGTGTTTTTTCATGCACAAGCGATAATATAGTATCACCCAAAGATCCACTGATGATCAGAAGTACCTTATCGGCCATGGCGAGTGTCGACAAATGAGCTTGACAAGCCTCGATTGTGTTTATAACATGAAGACAAGTAAATAATTGATCCAGATCGACTCGACGATTAAGATAGTCTGGTTCAGCCATGTTTTGAGTTCGTTGCTGATCTAGCCAAACTATTTCAAATTCTACATCTAGTTTTTTCTTCATCAAAAATTCTTCACGTCTTTATTGTGCGCTATGTATTTGTATTGACACAAAATGAATGAAGAAACGATGGTAGTTACAGAAGAAAAGAAAAAAAACAGGCTGTCACTAACCATTACAAACGGCCGCGCGTGCAAAAACAGAACGTAGTTACACAGAATACGATTTTCTTTACATGCCACTTTCACTGTTTAGAGTGGTAAGAAAGACAAAAAATATTTATTGCTCTACTCTCAATATATGTCTGGTTTCTGTAGGTAACGAAAGAGAACACAACAGTGCATTATTTTTGAGTTTGTCACAATTTATATGTACGAGGTATTTCGATCGATATAGGTGGCAGTACGGATCACACATGAATATATTATTTACGTCTATTCTCAGAGCTATATACACGTTCATACCCTCCAGCACAACTATACAACAAGATATTTTATGTACATTGTATTTTATTTTTGCAATACATCTTGTAGTATATATTTTTAGGGTGCGGGTATGTGTGCGGCTAAAGAAGAAGGACTCATATTCATACCCCACAGGCATCTTCAACCTCAAGATAGTTAAAAAAGATATGATTTCTTTACCAAGTACAGTATATATACAATGCTAATTAAGATTATTCGTATAACAAATAAATGGGGTGGGTGTAGATATTGAGAAAATTCATACTCATACCCACACCCTCAAAGAACTCGAAAAGGTCGACATTTCATTACAAAAGGCTGGTAAAGTTGAATACAGTAAGTGATTTATTTATAAATATCCCAATTCAACTGAAATAAATGAAACACTGAGCTTTTCTCCATCAATCAATGAGCTACCAAAGTATGTAATGTACTGTCATTATTTTTTATTCTTAAAAAATACTGATCATTTGACTTCATTGTGTACTTTGTTTAGTAAGGACTGAGTAGTATCATATCCATCTGCTAATTTTAAAATTTCTTTAATATAATATAAAGTAAAACAAAAAAAAACGCAAATATCAGTCATAGAATGAAGTAGTATAGAAGAAACGCTAGAAGGATATTGTTGTTATAGAAAACTTCTATGCTCAATCAAAGAGAGTATGTGGAAAAATTTGTCAGTTTGATCATAATTTCTAGAATACTATGAAATATCGAGTATTTCAAAATGTTTGAAAAACAACATTTTCTTCTACATATATCTCTTTCCAACCAAATGATAAAGTATATGTTCTTCTCATAAAAATAGTACCACATGAAATCATCTACCACAAAACTATAGGAGTAAAACGCTATTCCCTGGTTCGAATAGCTTTCTTCACATTCGATATAAAAAAAGAATGCACGATACTGATACTTTTTACCATATCTTACGATAAAAATATTTGAAAAATCTTTGTATTTTAGATATATGATGGTTTAAGAACTTGATATTTTTTCTCAACAGATTTCTTGTCATAAATACTATTATAACTATGCCAGTTATATTTTCAATGATCTTTTGAAATGAATAGATAGCGTAGATGTTGATTAAAATTAGTCATCTATAAGTAATTGTCGATATGTACATTGATTAGCAGATAAAAATAGTGCAAACAATCCAACTTCCAACTAATCGACAGATTAACAAAGGATAATATTAATATACACTTACTAATAATTATATGAGATAATTATTCACCATTAAAAATTAATTCGATAAAAATAAATCAGGAATATCTATCGTGATGATATTCAAAAATCCTTTTCAATTTTATAGTTATATCTGATCGATAAGATTTCATTCATTGCAGAACATAGAATTTTTAGATTGTTACATTTTATAATACTCTTTATGGAACTTATTATTTCACCATTATTTACAGTGGTGATACTCTAACAGAGACCTTTGAAAAAAGGATAGCTTTTTCGCAAACTATTCTTCCTTAATTATTTGGAATATTGTCATGTACTAACTGAGTTTTTAGAATTATGTAACAACATATATTGCAATATTTCCCAGAAAGAATAAAAGCGACACACACACATTCATGTATTATATATCTTATCTACAATAACAAACATCGTGTGTCTCCGCGAAGGGTGGGTGTGGGTGTGGATCTGTATTCTTCATCTAAATCCGGAGCCACTTACATCCACACTCAAAATGACAACTAGATTATGATCAGTTAGAAGTATAAAAATAAAAACAACAAAAATGGTCCTTAGGATTATGTGTATGATCTCATAACATCAGATCCTAACCGAGTTGTAGATAAAGTTAATATTCATCGTTCGATTCTCATTTATATGTTCAAAGAAATCTCAGACTTTACTAAAAAAATAAACAAGTCATCTTTCTATTCATGAAACGGCCGATGACTACATTTAAATGAATGACTCATTGGAATAGAATGCGAGATAACATAAATAAGTCATTAAAATATTTCTTTCTTATTTTTCATTTAATTAATTCATTTTCCTGTATTATATAATTTTAATCTAGCTTTGTATAATCTTACAGAAACAACTCATATGAGTACTCACGCTGGCAGGTTGTACTCGTTTGATGAGTACTTTCACTAGGATTAAATGATCAGTCACTAGTAATTAAATTAAGCGCAGCTTCTATCCTAATTGTTTTTCTAATCGGTTTATTGAATGGTTTTCCATAATCGTAATTCTTGTAAAGTACGATTTGAAATGCATCTTCAATTATATCTATTCTGATTGCCAGTATGTTAATTATAAAATTCTGGTTTGTAAGGGTGAGTGGATGTGGGTATGAATGGAATATAAAGATGATACCCTCTCCCATCTCACGCACATTCATATCCATGCCCTCACAACTTTTTGACTAGTTTATGTTAATATTTATTGTTGAACAAAAATAGTTGTTTACAACAGTATTACAAGGTACTTGATTACAATAAATAAAGAAACTCATGATGATACAACATTTAACAGTTAGTCTGGTATTACGGGTAGCTTGTGTTAATAATTATGAACCATATATTAACGCCAGATAATCTTTTTGATTTCAGATCGAAATTTCCTCGACATGATAAAATTGGTATAGAAGCCAACACAATAGGGGATATAAGAACTAAACAGAGCAAAATTCATAAGTAAGATTCCGAGTTGAATTTCAGCAAGACTAGATGATCGACTTTGAAGTATCTGTATATATATAAGAGCAGGTGGCATCATTGCACTGAATATGATATATATACTAATATCAATAATTAAAATTTGAATAAGTTGATTATTCTTTGAATGAGTAGGACGTGCAGTAACAGCAGCTGTGGTGACAGCAGTAACAGCTGTAGTGGCAGTAGCAAAATTGACCTGATGTCTTTTCCGAAGATTTCTCACAGTCCATGCTCCCAAAATAATCATCGATAAAGGAACTAGAATGTCTTGAATTAAAATTATATAATAATTCATAAATGATGCATAGAGTCCAGGCTGGAAAGAGCAAATGATAACATTTGGTGCTGGTTCGATATTATGGGTCAGAAATAATGCATGAATATGAAATAATAACCAAAATAATGTTACACCTATGATGCATATATAAGTTAGACGTAAAGTACTTCGTT